TTTTGTGTGTATGCATACAGCTTACAGTACAACTTACACGGTGTACATTTTTTGACTTTCCATGGCGCGTTGAAATTCTTTCGGTGAAATCCACCCGTCACGATTCGTGTCGAAGTCTTGAAACGCTTGCGAGGTGGTCAAATCTTTCAGTTTCAAGAACATATCGGAGAATTTCAGAATCATCTCAACACATTGCTGACTCTCAACCAACGCATCGACCATTTGTTTACCAATTGGACCATTCAATACGTTACCTGAAGGTGACCACAATAACAAATTGAGTTACTCATCCATTAAGGAAATCAATCGAGAAATAGCAAAATTTCTCTCGAAAACGTATGCCGCAAACCTTCAAGCATTGAGAGCATCAGAACGATCATATCTTTCTGCAGATTCAGAAACTCTCTCAACAACTCCAACTGTGTGCTATTCTTGTACAACTTCTCCATCATGTGCGCAAACAAGAAGAAAAATCCATTGATCGCATCCCAAAGACGCGAATTCGCAAGAGTCATCTGATTACCGACACAAGGACCCTAGAACAATTAACCAAATCATTACTCATTTTGATAAAAGAGAAATAATTATCATCATTCATATTACTTCTATTGCTGTTGCGATTATCATTATTATCTTTAGTATGTTTGTTTTTTTTAATGTTTGTCATCAGCGTCCCTTTTTTTATGAAGTCTTCAATATCAGTCAGAATCTATCAACCGAAGGAATTCCACCGAAAAATTTCCAAATGAAAGCAACAAATAAGCAGTTAGTAGAAATGAGCATGCAACCATTAGAACATAGAACAGCATCCGTTACCTGAATACTTTCGGTGAGCGTGTTGAAGACTTGACTGCATACTTGAATAGCCCTCAAGAAGTACTCCTTACCTCCCTCGTCAATCACCTCTTTACTCGAGTAATGCCAATAGAAGTCCATCACTGACTCTTGCAATCGTAGCAAATAATCGACAATGCAATTGATTAAGTTCACACTTGTTGTGTGACCGGGTTGTGTGCGTAAATAGTTTTGGAAATCTGAAAAAAAAGCAGTGAAGTGTTAGTATTTTTAAGATTGAAATTAGATATCGAACGTCTTTTCATCATTTATCTTCGAATATCAACATACGAAAAAATCTGCAAGCGTCGACTGATTTTTATGATTTTTTGTAAACTCTTTCAATGTTTATTACCAAACTATTGAAATGGACGTATACAAAGTGAAAATTCATTCGTTTCGTGATCAGCTCGGATCACGATCGGAATTTCCGACTAGTTTCAGTTTAGATGAGCGATAAAAATTTACTGGTCTTCGGGATCGAATCACGTCGACGGTAATAACAGCTTACCAAGATTATGGCCTTCGCATGT